TGGTAGAGATCTGCAGATTAACTACGTTCAGGTCTAGTTGGCAAAATTCACATTTTGTGGGTGATTCCCCACTTCAAATTCTCCTTTCGATTATAAGCTGACCCAAATAGCTGCAAATCCAGATAGAAAGGGCAATTTGTCCTTGCATGCAATTTGTTACCCTACTGCAATGTAAAGTGAAATAGAATGTGAAATTTGATGGAAAAATATTCAATTACATAGTAACACATTTAACAAGAAAACAGTGGACACATTTACTATTTTGAAGAACAGAGGGAATAGTGATGCAGGGGTAAGTGAAAATTGAATCACTGACAAAAGCAACTCACCCAAACACAATACAACTGTAACTGTTCTTGGTCCTCAACCACATGCAATCCTAATCTTCTCACAAGTCGTTTCTATGTGTGTGTCTGCATTTCTTTTAAACTGCTTAAAGCTATCCTGTCATAAAGCTTCTTCACATTTGCAGTACTTATTACTCAACCAGATTTAACTATCTTCTGTCAAAACCTTACAGATTACAAAGCAGGTGGGACAAAGCATAATCTTGAATGTTAGCTCTTCGTGAAAATGATTTATTGTCTCAAAAGCTGCAATATAATGGTACATGTGGAGCACAGTGAACTCCTTAAATTACAATAAATGTTTTCATTGATTAGCACCATATATTTAGATTTTTACAAAGATACTGTACTATTTTATTTATTAAAATGAGCAATGCAACTTGTGATTTTTCAACATCAAAATTAAAAAGCCCATAAATTTGGCTCCCTAATCATATGGAAATTTGAAGATTTGCCCCCAAATCTATATAATTCCACCTTTGCTTGTTTTGATGCATTTGTCCTAATGTTTAAATACTGCACAATTAAAACAGGGAGATTGCTTACATCTAAAATAGGGAAATCTGCTTAATGGGATTAACAAATTCTGACCAGAGACACACAAGTGGCAGCTCAAAACACAAATAAATGAATATAATGTTCTCTCCAGTATCCATCCATGGCAGACAAAGGTACCCACAGTTCAGGAGCCACATCTGAACTTGACATATTTTTGGGTGGTCTGTGTTTATAACAATGAATAATTAGATACAGGTTGAATTCAAGGTCAGGTCCATTGATTGTGTAAAAGCTTTTAACTGAGTTCAAATCAGCTGTCACATCACTAATGACATTAATTTCAATAGTGTTCTCATTTTCACTGCAATTATTATATACAAATAATTACTACCTTTTTCTTTGAATAAAAGACAAATAACTGAGTGGTCAATATAGAAGTGGAAAACAATGCAGTACTGTTGCAATTACTGCTTGTTTATGTTCACAGCACTCACAGAGAGCTCAATTTACTCGATTAATCATTTAAACATGTTCAATAAATGCTCAGGTAATTTTTTTTTTTCTTTGTGTCATGCGTCTTATTCTCTACCTGATAAGGTACAAACATCTCTTTCAATGTGCTGCCATACAAATGTGGTTAACTCATTTCTAAGGTGAATGCCTTGTTTATTTATTTTGTGCTGGCTAGAAAGTTCACCTTTACGTAGAACTGGCTTCTGGTAACATGTCTAAGTTTTTATCTGAATATGCTCCTGTGAAGTGTAGTGCTTGGGATGTCTTACTGTATTGTTGTTTGGCAGACTGATAGCTTATCGTAGGGAGAAAGCATAAATGAAAGTAAATTCTGTCTTCTTGCTAAATATTAATAAAGGAGCAGGCTGGAAACAATTAGTGATAAGATCTCTCCTGTCATACACTAATGAGTGTCACCATCTACATGCTCAAAGGATGATTAACCCCAAATAGTAAGCCAATTTATCAATCACCAAACACCTGGAAAATCAAACAATTCTCAAAGATTTGATTACACAGAAAATAAGTACATCTTGCTCTCAGCGCAGCATGTCAGTTGAGAAGCAACCATTTTGTATTATAATGAGATGCAGCCAATTCTGAACATTCCCATCAAACTAAATTGTCTAAAAATAACATTCAGCATACAGTAATATTATGTGAAGTTTTACAATTGAATGGGATATATATTGTAAAACATTTTATTTCGAGGACTATACATTCATCAGCTTGCATTTTGTTCAACCAAACTGTGAGAACTTCATAGTGACTAAAAATGATGTTACTGTTGTAATATTGCACAGGATTCCTACTCCAGAGTGACATAGAATTGCTATTGGTACAATCATGCACAGAAACAATTAAAAATGTTTAAAAACATGGTTGTGTTTGTAATAGCATATTGAAAAGGAGATGTGATTTTCTTAAAGTAATTTAAGACTAGGGTTTTTTTTAAAGTACACTCTGGATTCTAAGTGTGAGTAGGGCGTTCCTTATAAATATACGGCATAGCAAATTCATAATGTAGGTCATATGTTATCTGACAAGCATCAAGTAGGCAATCAATTGCTGCCTGTCAGGAATAGTTCACAAGGCCACATGGTGGCATTGGTCAGAGATCCCTCAGCATTTGGTCACTGTTCTGACTTCTCTGATCATACTTCTAATTCACAGTTGTTTCATATGTGATCCTTCAAAAAAGTCATAATTGCAATTGGAAGTTGGGATTAGATCTTTTACGGAACATAGTGTTGTAGGGCATATACCTCCAAGTAAATTACAATTTTACTAATACGAATTTGAAGAACAAAGCAGAACATTGAACTATACCCCAGGATAGCTCTATATTACAAATGTGAATGACTGCCTATGGTTGCATGGCAATCGAGAATGGCAGCAACACAGTGCCCAAGATCTAGTAGTCCGTGATAATAATTAAGTTCTGCTATTCCCTGTAGCTGCCATAATGACAGAGGTGTGAATGTGAAACCCATCACATTTCAAAGCTGGCCAACTACCATTTCAACAAATCCCTGATATAGGACCATAATTTTGTTATCCACAGGTTAACTCCTAATTCACTCAGATATTGTAGCTCAGGGGTGAGCATTTTCCTGCAGAGCTTCCTGTGCTTTTTGCTAATGTTCTTCTTCAGGTTGTAGCCCATGATTGAGCGTTCACCAAGTGGTTGCCATGGTTTCAATGATGCCTCCTGAATGGCGTTTGCGTCCACTGGGTGCCCACCATCAATGCAGATTGACTGCATGTTATCATTGCGCCTGCGCAATTCTTCCACATCATGCTCCATGCGTTCAAACCCATATCTTTCCACCTTTTTCCAGAAAGTAGCATTGAAGTATTGGTACAACATGGAATCAATTTTGTTCCAGTTTGTTGCCTTCTCATATAAGTCTCCAGTCATTCTTGATACAGTGGAATCTTTTCGTACATTTAATTTGAAATACAAAATATCATCCAGGTCCCAGCACATTACATCCTTCAAAAGAATAAGTGATTCATCGAAATGTTCTAGGAGCATCACCAGATGGAACCTTTCATCGATAGTTTTGATGTGCTTCTTTACTTTGGGGTCATTGATATCTAAGTTATTATCATAACCAAAGTCAAAAAATAGCAAATTTTTCAAGTAATGGGAGTTAAAACCACTTGGATCATAATATCGGTTGGGTTCCCTGAGGAATTCAGCCAGTTTGTCCTCTCCGCTTATTTTCCAGGTGAATGGGATCACTCGACCAAAATAATGAAAAGATGACTCAAATAAATATGCAGGGTTCCTGAGAATGGTGAAATAAATAGTGTCTTCAGGGAGTAGCTTGTGAACCTCTTCGTAGTTAAATCTCATATGATTACAGACTATGTTGAAACACATGCCTGGCCTGTAATCCTTCACCTGGCTCCTATCAAAGTATGATGGGTAATAAAAATCATTCCTGCCATTGGGAAAAGCAAATTTCAGGCGATGTTTCTGCCCAAAGCGGAAGAGAATGTTGAGAATTGTGCTACTGGCAGTCTTGTGTGTCTTCATGAACATGATATCTTCTTTAGGGGTGCAGATTTTGCTTAGCTCAGAGGTGAAATGAGATCCATTCATCCGGGGCACATTTCTGGCATGTGCAGGTTTATATGAACATGAATAAGGAACGGGAATTCTAATAAGAGAGGCAAAATATGTTAGAAACACTGCTCATTGTTAACAACTTTAGAATGTAAGAATTTTCAACATTCTGCTAATATTTTCAGTGCCATAATTATTATTATAATAATTATTAACATTAGTGAAGTGATTTTCTGTTACAGAATAACATGGCTTCCTTGGTTTATCTTAATGCACTCTGATTTCTCTAATCTCTCCTTAGACTTCTAAGTAATCATTCATTGAATGATTTTCTTCCCTTAGTGAGGTGGTGATGGCTTAGTAGTATCATTGCTAGACCATTAATTCAGAGACTTGGGTAATGTTCCAGGAACTTGGGTTTGAATCTCACCATGCCAGACAGCGAAATCTGAATTCAATAAAAATCCAGAACTTAGAGTCAAATGATGACCATGAAACTGTTGCTGATTGTCAGGAGAAACCCATCTGGTTCATTAATGTCCTTTAGGGAAGGAAACCAATCTGGGCTACATGACTCCAGACCCACAGCAACGTGGTTGGCACTCAACTGCCCTCTAGGTTTCTGCACTGGTTCAGCCAGCGATATCCACAACCCCGTCAATGAATTTTTTGAAAAAACTGACTTGAACGACGAATGACAAAACTGATTAAAGATATGGTCTCTATGAGTATTTTGCAACATGGTGAGGGGTATGCTACTTGAGTATGCATTTGTGTGGAAAACGCCACAACATCAGAGCAGACCACACGATAATACAAATAATTCAGCATTAACAACCGAATTAGATATTGTAAAGCCAACGTGAATACAACAGTGCATCATCAAAATAATTTCAGTGTCCTTGTGAAGGAGTTTAAAACCATGCAAGATATTGTGAATTAGCGGTGAAGCCACTGACTCTGCCTTTGTCTGAAGGAAACTGTTGCAATGTAATTTAACATTTAACATTGCAGATGCAGTGTAACATCGAATTGTGATGTGATAAAGTGAATGGGGAGGAAGAATAATAAGACACAATATAGAAATAGTACCAGTTTAACGGCGTGCAGGAACAGAGACCTGAGGGTATGTGCATCAGACACACCAACCCCATTGTCTCAAAACAAAAGACAAAACTCTATAAAGTAAGGAGATTTGGTACAAAAGGAATGAGCTGCTATAGTTTTCTGCAAGTATAAACCAATATTGATTGACTATTGGATTGTAGCTCTTTGCAAAAATCTTGTTACTACTTCTGAAAATGTGATACAAAGCACATTTTAAAAGTACTACCTGTTATCCTTGCATGTATTAAAACATGTATTATATATTCCCCCTTACCGTAGTAGAATGATATAGTACGGAAGGAGGCCATTCAGCCTATTCTGGTTTTGCCAGCTCTTTCGGTAGAGCTATCAAGTTAATCACATACCCTTGTTCTTTCCCAATTTTTGCTTCAAGTATTTATCTATTTCTGCTTTGAAGGTTATTGTTGCATGCTGTTCCACCAGCCTTTCAGCCATTGCATTTCAGCTCGTGAACACAATCATAATAGAGAAAGAAATAGAAGGACCTGCTGAGTTTAAATGAAATAAACTCGGATGATTTACGTAGGTAAAAAATGCAGGCAAAGACTACATGAATCAGAAGTTTTGTTTCTGGTCCTATAGATGTGATTTAACTCCATGCAACCTTCATATACTTTGAAGGTATAAGGAGGCTTTCCCCTTAGTGCAGATATTTTTAATCAAACCTGTTTGGTGTGTTATGGGACACCTTTGGAGTGGGTGGAACCTGAACTGGGGCCATACTGCTGCACCCATAAGAAGCTTTCCACCCCTTGGTTATGCTTACCACACCAGTGCGCAAGATCTTCCCTATAATTTCCACCTGACTGGAAACATTCTTGACTTATTTTTCCAAACCCTGCTCACTGGCGCAGAAAGGATACCAAGGCCACTCCTTGGGTATAGACCTATCCTGTCTAACCTTCCATCACAAGATAATTCTTTCATCCCAGAAGGGAGTTTTTTTTAAATTCACTCATAGGGTGTGGGTGTCACTGGCTGGGCCAGTATTTATTGCCATCCCTAGTTACCCTTGAGAAGGTGTTCGTGCGCTGCCTTCTTGAACCACTGCAGCCCACATACTGTAGGTAAACCCACAATGGCCAGGATTTTCACCCAGTGACAGTGAAGGAATGGCAATATATTCTAAGTCATATTGGTGAGTGGTTTAATTGAGTGAACATTCTCTAAACTCCTTCTAAAGAATTTTGTTTTTCAAATAAGACCACCAAAACTGTACACATACTACAGGTATGGTCTCACTGAGGCCATGTACAGGTGCAGTCAAGCTTCCTGACTTTTATATTCCATTCCTCTTGTATCTTCTTTATCACTTGCTGTAGCTGCATAGTAACTTTATGTGATCCATGTGCCAGGACACCCAGATCCGTCTGTACCATTGAGTCCTGCAATCAGATTTCTGCTTGGTACAGCACCATCATGCAGACTCAACAGAAACTAGCTTGGCACAGAACAGTGAATGAACATGGGCACTTCCTGTGTTACAATGCTCTTACTGACTGTTGACAATATAGCAGTTAAGGTTTTCAACTTCATTTCAGAGGCTACATTACATACATGGTAGAAATTTTAAACATTGTCGAAAATCTTGTGACCTCTGCCTTTGATTATATTCAAGGAGTCTTTTACAACACAGAACCATTCACCTCAAATAAATCAGCTGACTACATAAGACATTGTCTTCTGTTTTAAACTGGGGTGGTCAACAACAACTTAAATTCCTATAGCACTTTTATGGTGGTAAAATAACCCAAGAATTATTAAAGGACCCACCTCAGAGATGAGCAAACAAAAAAAATTTGTCCAAGCTAATAGGACTTGAGGAGAGTTGGAATAAGAAAAGCAGAGCTGATGGTCTGAGATAGTTGGTTATACCACCAATGAAATCTTTCCTTCTCTGCTGCTCATCTTTCAACACTGTGATGTTTGGCTCCTGTTACAATGCCATACAGCAGAGGACAGCCGCATTATTTTCTCTCCAAACTAATCTCAAGATAAATGCGTTTTTACAAAACTCCTGAGACTTCAGAGCTGCCTTGTAAGATTGTTTAATTTTACCTCAAAATCCTGTCTCTTGCGATAAACTCATAAGAGCTGGCATGGGAAACCTTTGAAAACCAAGTTGAGACGGTTGTTTAAAAAACATATAGGATTCTTGGCTGTAAAAAAGGCACACAGTACAAAAACAAGGAAATTATATTCTGAGCCCTGAAAATCACTGGATCAACCCCAGCAGGAATATTATGTCCAGTTCTGGGCAGCATACCTTAAACAGGATGCCTTATAAAGAGAGTACAGAGGGGATTTACAGGAATGGTAAGTCCCTCGATGTGAGACCTCAATTAAATGGAGAGTCTGGGGGAGCTGGTGTTGCTGTCTTAGAGCAGGCACTATTAAGGGATGATTTAAGAGTGATGTTCAATATCATTAAGCGTCTTGAGAACTAAGGAAAGACTGTTTATAAGGGTTGATAACCAGAGAACATTGGCAAAAACAGCAACTTTTTTTTTGAAACACAGCTAGTTGTTATGATCTGCTTGAAAGGGTAAAAGATGCAGATTCAAAAGTAGCTTTCAAAAGTAGCTTTCAAAAGGGAATTGAAGTGGAAAATTTGCAGTACTGCAGGGCAAGAATCATAAGACAGGGGAATTGCTAATTGCTAATAACAGGAACAATGGATCAAATTGGCATTTTATATGCTGACTGCAACTATCGTGGAAGCTCAGATTTAGATTAAAAGAAAGCTGTGGTCTAACCAAAAACTCTCAAGATTCAGAAAATATTGCTCATTGTAGTTGCCTGGAACTCCATCTACATATCTTTGTAAACAACATCAAACCAGTTCCAAGTGGAAACGACAAGCTCACACTCACTGGAGCTATTCTGTAAGGCTGTACCTGCACTGAAGCGTCTTAAATATACCACAAACTCTTTCATGCTTTGCACAAACACTAATGCTGCAGTGTAAATCCAGAGTAAGTGTAAGACCAATTTTTGAGCATTTCCAACTTCCTTTACCACACCACTAGTGACTGTTGTACTAGCTGACATTTTTTTTTCCATTGCATTTTTCTTACTTGTTTTTTTTTAATAAAGAGGACTGTGGAATTCCTGACCTAAATTTTTTGGTCTCTTACTTTTTTTTGAGAGTCTCCTTAGAACTTAACTCTTTGATCAAGCTTTTGGTCACTAGTTCCTTTCTTTGGCTTAATGTCAGTGTTTATCTGATTATACATTTTTGTGAACAACTTTGGAATTTTTAAATGCACCATATAAATATGCTTTGTTACTGTTGTTCATGTTCAACCTGTATTTTGTGCATGGTATTGAGCATTGAACAGTTACTGTTTCTGTTGTAAGGTATCTTGCCTTTGTGTTTGTCAGAAACTATAACTCATGCTGCAATCCATTTTAATACACTTTACTGGACCAAAAATATATTTGTAACATCATGTTGCTTCTTTTATTAATTTTAGTTCAAAAAGACCTTGAATAAAATGCAATGAAAAAATATAGGAAAAGGAACTTAAGCCCTCGTGGTGTTTTGGCACATAATGTAGGGGAATTGCATATCAATGTCACAACATTAGACAGTCATCTTACAATAACGATGATGTCTCAAATCTTTCTCTAGTTTTATTGGAAGAGTGGACACAAATATAAAGTGTGGGAAAACTGATGAAGACAACTTTTGTGATGAAAATGCTGCATGATTGATCCATTACAACTTTAAAAAGATAACACTCTAAAAAAAGGCAATAGGGAACTGCTTTATTTGTTACTTAAGGCAGTGGGTGATCCTGGGTTATAAAGATGTTGAGGCTGTTAATCACACCATCCTGTTCAAATGCCTCTCCTCTGTCAGCCAGCTGCTCTTGCCTAGTTCAATTCTTACCTATCCAGTTGTAGACAAAGCATCACCTGCAATGGTTTGTTTGCCTTGTCCTGCATAGTTACCTCTACAATCTCCCAAAGATTCCCTCTAACCATTCCACCAACTACCCACAGTCCCAACCCATCACCCATTTTTCATTTACCTTTTACCCCTTTGGCAACATCTGAAATACATTGCACCCAGCTCTACCTTATCATCTCTGCTCCTCACCCCTTCAAAATCTCCAATTTTATCATGCTGTTTGTTTATTGGTTAGTATTGGATGAGTAGAAATTTCATCCAACAGAACATTGAGAAGACTGAAGTCACTGTATTCAGTCTATTCCACAAACTCGATTCTCGAGTTAATGAGGGGTGGCATGGAGGCTCAGTGGTTAGCATTGCTGCCTCACAGCATCAGGGACCTGGGTTTGATTCCAGCCTCTGTCGACTGTCTGTGTGGAGTTTGCATATTCTCCTTATGTCTGCGTGGGTTTCTGCCAGGTGCTCCAGTTTCCTCCCACAGTCCAAAGATGTGCAGATTAGGTGGATTGGCTACGCTAAATTGCCCATAGTGTCTAGGGTAGGGGGTGGGGGGTCTGGGTGGGATGCTCTTCGGAGGGTCGGCGTGGGCTTGATGGGCTGAATGGCCTGCTTCCACACTGTAGGGATTCTATGATTCTATGAGACCCCATTTGTCTCGCTTTCATCTGCAGGGGACTTAGACTGTTCATAATCAGTTATCCTATTTGACATTATGATGAGCTTCTAATCACATAACCATTCCCATCACCAAAACCAGCTATGCCCACATCCATAAGATTGCTAATCTGCAATACTGCTTCAGTTCATTTGCTGTTGCATCCTCATCCATGACTTTATTAATTCTTGACATCCAGTCCAATGCTCACTTAGCCCTACTCCCATTAGCCAGCCCCCATTAAATTGAGCTTAATTAAAACTCTGCTGCCCCTCCCCTATCTTGCAGCAAGTTCCATTCATTTTTCACTTTGAACTTGTTGATCCTTGGTTTAGTAAAGTCTCGACATTAAAACTTCATGTTTGTTTTAAGGTCCCTCCATGACCTTGCTCTTTATCTCCATTACCGGTTTGATCAGCTCAACGACCATTTTAAACCTCTGCATTTTCCAAATCTTGGAATTTCCCCAATTTTAATTGCTCTGCCATCGGCAGCTTTGCCTTCAATCGCAGGGGTCTAAAGTTCTGGCATACCCTCCCAAAAGCTCGTTGCTTCACCTCCTCTTTAGTTCTTTTCTTTCGTACTAATGCTCTACAAAATCTACTTCTTTGTCCATGTTTTTGGTTGCCTATTAATACCTCCGTTCTGATGAAAGAACATTAGAACATAAGATAAAGGAGTAGAATAGACCATTCAGTCCCTCAGGTCATGCCTGATCTCCCCCAGGCCTCAACTTCTTTCTTATGCCAGCTTATCATAGCCCTTGACTCCCCAATATTTTAAAAATGCATCCATCTCCACTTTAAATACTTACAGTGATCTAACCTTCACGACTTATTAGGATAGAGAATTCCAGTCATTCACTGCTCTCAGAGAAGAAATTCCTTTCCACTACAGTTTTAAAGGAGTGTTCCCTTACTTTGTAACAACGTACCCTAGTTTTAGATTGCCCATTTCTCAACATCTCATTCTTTTAATCCCTAGTGAATAAAACTCTAAAACCTGTTTAGCCATTCTTGATAAGGCAAGACCCTCAGCCCAGGGATATGCTCTCTTAAATGCAGGGGTCAAAACTGTACTTAATACCTGTGCTCCCTCTAATTTTGTTTTCTTCTGTTCAGGTCTCAAGGTCTGTGCCTAACAGCAACTTCTGAAAGCTGAAGTCGATGCTGGGAGCAATGTCAGCATGCCGAATGGCTTATGCAGATCCTCTGAGCAGCTGTGCGGCTTAGACAGAACATTGCACTGTACTCCAAATGCAACCTCACCAGCACCCTATCGAGTTGTAATAAAACTTCCCTATTGTTAAACTCCAACCCCCAAGCAATAAAGGCCAAATTTCCATCTACCTTCTTCATGACCCGCTGCACCTGCATGCTAACTTGCTACTCCATACAAACTTATTCCATATCACAATCTGTTGCACCTATGTCACTACTCACCCCACATTGACACCTTCCTTTATTAACAAAATTAGCCCAAAATCTTTTCCTTGTTGCATATTCTTCTAGAAAATTGAATATTGAGTTTGCAGTTGTGTTCCAGCAGTTTTTGTTTTTATCATCTTGTAGCTTGTAATAAATTTTGTTTGATAACACTTCTATGAAAGGTTCTGGGCCTTTCTTTTTGTTCTAGGCTGATCTCATTCATGTTGTGGGACTCAGTACCGAATCAAATTTGCTCATTTTCGGGGCTATGTTCTTGGACTAGGAATTGTGTATCGTGGAAACCACATTTCCGTAATAGCCTATCAAATAACAGTCATTTTTTCTGTTTGTGCTGTCAACTCTTCTATCCATTTCACAAATGCTGTGTACATTAGGACAAAAAGCCGTAAACCTTTGACTTTGTACACCATTATTACTTACTCTGGTTTTAACTTCTGTTGCACTTTACTACATGTATTTTCTTGCTCTTCCTATCATACTTCAATTATCATTCACCTTTTCACTACTCTGCACCCCTCTCTCATTTCTTTTTGGGTTTTAAAAGATGTTGCTTAATTGAGCCCCCCACTCCCCACTAATTAGTTTAAAGCCCTCTCTACAGCCATTGTTATACCATTTACCAGGACACTGGTTCCAGCCTGGTTCAAATGAAACCAGTCCCAGTGGAACAGCTCTTTTCCCTGTACTGGTGCCATGAATGGGAACCCATTTCTCCTACACCAATTTTGGCAGCACACATTTACCTCTCTAATCTTATTTACTCTGCGCCAATCTGCACATTGCTCACAGAGTAATCCTGAGATTAAAGCTTTTGTGTTTCTACTTTTTTAGTTGAACATCAAACTGCTAGTAATCCCTCAGCATAATGTCTTCCCTAATCCTACCTGTTTTCTTGGTACCTACATGGACTATGTCAACAATATCCTTCCCCTCCCACTCCAAGTTCCACTCCAGACCAGAAGAGATGTCCCAAGCTTCACACTAGGTAGGCAACACAGCCTTTGGGATTTTCCGTATTTGCTGCAGAAAAGGATACATGTTACCTTAAGTATGCAATTCTCCATTACTACGACATTTCTCTTTCCTCCCTGATTTGAATGGCACTCTGGACCACAGTGCTGTGAACAGCTCACTCATCCACCCTGCCCTCATCCAGACTAGGAGCAAGAACCTTGTGCCTATTGGACAAGGGCACTGGCTGAAGTCTCTCCAAATCTAAATTCTGCATCTCAATAAAGGACAATAATGGATATTCTATATTCTATTCCATAAAGGATATTCTATATTCTACGCCTGCCTCAGTATGTGTCACACCTTCTTGTCCCTGACCATGGACCAAACTTGATGTGGTTAATCCAAGGGGTGTGACTGCCTCCTGAAATACAACATTCAGTTACACCTCCAGCCTGATGTGTCAGTGTCCCCAACTCATCAGCTCTGTCCAAATTCCTCCAGCAGCCAACACCTGATCATAACAGCCTCCACCAGCTCCCACATATTAAGGATGCAACACATTAAAGTCCTAACTGTGTCTATCTCCATAAATGCTGGTAATCCTGCTGCGTTCCAGCATGTCCTGTTTTTATCATCTTGTGGGTCCGTAATAAATTTTGTTTGATAACATTCCTATGAAAGGTTCTGGGGCTTTTCTTTTGTACTCATTCTTGTCGTGAGACTCAGTACCGCATCAAATCTGCTCATTTTCGGGGCTGTGTTCTTGAACCAGGAATTGTGTATCGTGGTAATCAGAATTGGAATTTTCTGATTGGAGTTGATTACAGTTGGGATTTTCACTGAGTTAACGGGTTAGAACACTCCTTTAACTACACTTTTAAGATAGACTCAAATCTATCCGGCGGAAGAGGGCGTCCTCTGATCATGTTCAAGGTGAAGAAAAAATGTACATGAGCCCCTGGTCAGAGGGATACACTGCTAGTCATTCATCTGGTTGAGAAAAACGGGTAGTTACAGTGCAAATAAGTGCAGGGCTTTTTTTTACAAAGGGAACAAACTCTTTCAGGAAATTTCAGTCACGCCAGTTCAAAACAAAGCTAACACATTATTCACCGCATTTTAAACTGAAGTGAAATGTGAAGAGAGAGACAGACTTACTCCTGCAGGCTGAGCTGGTGAGGAGGTGCCGCGTACGAGTACAGCAGGATCATGCAGGTGGTGAGCAGAGTCCCCAGGACGAGCCCCTTGCACATTGACTTCCATTGCTTCCCTTGCTTCAGCATGACCTGCAGTAAACCCTTGCCCGTCTGCTGGAAAGAGGACAGCCCGCAGGTCAGGGTCTTGGAAGCAATGCAGCTGCACTCGCGCAGCGAGACGGACACGTCTACCTTTCGCATCTTCACTCGTCTCTAGCCCATCTCCCTCCAGAATCGATCCAGCCCACTGCCTTGTCCCACTGCTCCCCTGGGGGAGGCTTTCTCAGTGGGACTCCCCCCAAACCAGGCGTCACAAAGCTCAGGAGGTGAGCACATAACACTGAGCTCCCCCACCAGCGGCAGTCTCTCTGTCTGCCGGCGCTGTCCGCTCCTGTTCCCTGTTCTACTGTCAGTCAAGGCAGCTGACCCGCCAATCACAGCACCCTTCTGCTCGGTCGAGTCACACTGCAAGGAGCTGCGCCCCCTGTCTCTGTGGGCACTCACTGAAGGAGATTTCAAGTCTCTGTGTAACTCAAGGTTCCCTTTCATTAAAAAAAAATCCATTCCCCCCCCGACCTGCCGCTCCCCAAACCAGGGCTTTCCTGCGATAAGTAATTCTCATCCAACAATAAAATACTGTGGGATCTCTCGAAATCTGATTATAAAATACAAAAACAGGTTAGAAGGTAACTTTTGTTCCTCTCGCTCTCCACTACACGCTGCCCTGACCCGGGGCAGTATTTTCCAGCAATGGCTGTGATTTTTAAAAATAGTAATACAAGTGTTAACTCTACACCCCCAACCCCATCCCAACGCCCCAAAGTTATTTTGTTTCCTGACAGTCTTACAGAAGAGACCCCCAAGTCTCGCTTTTATTTTTTGAGTCGATGTTGAAACAGAATCTCAAACCAAAACATCTGGAAAAGCGGGACCAGGAAAAATGAACCTCACAACAAACCGCCCGGTGTTCAGTCTTTAAAATTTGCCATCTCCTATGGCAGCTATAACTCAGCGGGAAAGACTGGATGGAAAGCAGGTGTTTAAACTGGTGCTTTTTGATGTTTTTTTCTTAAAATTAAGAATCGCAAGATTAAAGGCAGCAACAATACACATGGTCTATGATTTGTTCTAGACAGTCACTTTGGTTTCTTTGAAACTTTTTCCCCAATTCTTTAAACTGTAGGATTTGAGTTTAGTTCCCATCAAACTGGGAGGACTGTACTTTTGCCTGGGAAATGTTTTGAACATCGGTACTGTAGCCAGAAGCAGTTTCTGGGCTCCGTTAAACCAGGGAGGAGCTGAGCCCCGACAGAAAACATAACCCCTCCCATCTCCGGGTGATGCTCAGTTGACTGATGACAGCACGGGGTGTCTCGGTTTGCCTCAGTGCCTTTCTCCATGAGGAGGTGGGGGTTGGAGTACACACACCATCAATGACTAATCAGCCAGCCCCTGTGGAAGTGTGAGGGGGAGGGTCAGCACTGAAAAACCTGGTTATACTCATCGGTTTCAATTGACCCCTTCCATTGGGTGGGGTGGGCGGTAACGTTGAGAAACGCGTTACAGGATCAAATACCAAGTAGGACTTTAATTCTTTGAGGAAGTGACAAAGTTGATAGATGAGGGAAGGGCTGTGGATGTCATATACATGGACTTCAGTAAGGCGTTTGATAAGGTTCCCCATGTTAGGCTGATGGAGAAAGTGAAGTCGCATGGGGTCCAGGGCGTAGTAGCTAGATGGATAGAGAACTGGCTGGGCAATAGGAGACAGAGAGTTGTAGTGGAAGGGAGTTTCTCAAAATGGAGAACTGTGACCAGTGGTGTTCCACAGGGATCCGTGTTGGGACCACTGTTGTTTGTGATATACATAAATGATCTGGAGGAAGGTATAGATGGTCTGATTAGCAAGTTTGCAGATGACACTAAGATTGGTGGAGTAGCAGATAGTGAAGGGGACTGTCGGAGAATGCAGCAAAATATAGATAGATTGGAGAGTTGGGCGGAGAAATGGCAGATGGAGTTCAATCCAGGCAAATGCGAGATGATGCTTTTTAGAAGATCCAATTCAAGAGCAAACTATACGATAAATGGGAAACCCCTGGGGAAAATTGATACACAGAGAGATCTGGGTGTTCAGGTCCATTGTATCCTGAAGGTGGCAATGCAGGTCGATAGAGTGGTCAAGAAGGCATACGGCATGCTTTCATTCATCAGACGGGGTATTGAGTACAAGAGTTGGCAGGTCATGTACAGTTTGGACTTTGGTTCGACCACATTTGGAATACTGCGTACAGTTCTGGTCGCCACATTACCAAAAGGATGTGGATGCTTTGGAGAGGGTGCAGAGGAGGTTCACCAGGATGTTGCCTGGTATGGAGGGCGCTAGCTATGAAGAGAGGTTGATAGATTAGGATTATTTACATTACAAAGATGGAGGTTGAGGGGGGACCTGATTGAGGTCTACAAAATCATGAGAGGTATAGACAGGGTGGATAGCAAGAAGCTTTTTCCCAGAGTGGGGGACTCAATTACTAGGGGTCACGATTTCAAGGTGAGACTGGAAAAGTTTAAGGGAGATATGCGTGGAAAGTTCTTTACGCAGAGGGTTGTAGGTGCCTGGAACTTCTTGCCAGCGGAGGTGCTGGAGGCGGGCATGATAGCGTCATTTAAGATGTATCTAGACAGATACATGAATGGGTAGGGAGCAGAGGGATACAGATCCTTGGAAAATAGGTGACAGGTTTAGATAGAGGATCTGGATCAGCCCAGGCTTGGAGGGCCAAAGGGCCTGTTCCTGTGCTGTAATTTTCTTTGTTCTTTGTTCTTTTGTTCCAGGACAAGATAATGACAACTACAAAACATTGTTGGGGGTCAGGTACCATGAAAAGTTTCTTCAGCCAGGGGGTGCCAAATGTGTGGAACTCATTGCTGCAGAGGGCTGTGGAAGCCGAGACATTAAGTGTATTTGGGACAGAGATAGATAAGTTCTCGATCAGTAAGGGGATCAAGGGTTATAGGGAGAAGGCAGGAGAATGGGGCTGGCAAAGATATCAGCCATGATGGAATCGTGTAGCAGACTCTGGGCTGAATAGCCTAATTCTGCTCCTATACCTTATATCTGATGGCCTTTCAATTCACAGCTCCGGACAAGAAAGGGATAGCTGTAGATCATGAGGAGGACGCAGTGATATAGACAAGAGATAACAAGGTGTAGAGCTGGATGAACACAGCAGGCCAAGCAGCAGCAGAGGAGCAGGAAAGCTGACGTTTCGGGTCTGGACCCTTCTTCAGAAATTTCTGATGCTGCTTCGCCTGCTGTGTTCATCCGTCTCTACACCTTGTTATCTCAGATTCTTCAGCATCGGCAGTGCTATATATCAGTGATATAGACAATCCTGGTTATCACGGCAAATCCTGAACGTGTTCGACCAGCAGCTATACTGTCTCGGGCTCCAATGTTCTGCTTGATGCCAGGCATCTGTAAAGTAGTCAGTCCATTTAAAAAAGTGAACTTCAATCCGCTCACTGAGAAGCATGTTTTAAGCATTCTCTATTTATCTTATCTAAGTGACAAACTGTTGTTGCTTTGTGGACGTTTCAGGACTTTACCCCCTTAATATTCAACATTAAAATCAAGCCCCCTCGTCATATTCGTTTCCCAGAATAACGTGTGGTTTTAAGGACCGGTTGGGGTTATTCCGAATGCGTAAATCCGGGAGGAATAAATAATTGTTGAAAATGGGCCTTCTGATCGGAGCAGTGAAATGACTGAGGCGGCTTTCTGAACATGTAAAAAACAAAAGAACTGCGGATGCTGTAAATCAGGAACAAAAACAAAGTTGCTGGAAAAGCTCAGGAGGTCTGGCAGTATCTGTGAAGGAAACAAACAGAGTTAACGTTTTGGGTTCAGTGACCCTTCCTCAGCTTTCTTACCATGAATGGGCGATCACAACTTGAAGAAGCGAAAACTCGGAGGCATGTCCTTACGCCGACGGCCGGGCTCTGCTGTCCAAACCTGCCCTGACCACGGGGAACAGACAGAAGAACAAGAGGGTGAACGGAGAGCCAGGCAGACCTGTGCCACACTGCAGAGCCATGCTATTCTATAAATTTCACATTCCGGAGCCCCCACAGAGTGGGGCACTGAAACTAAGTCACCAGGACACGTAAACAAGGCAGCAACACGTCAGAAAGGCCCAGATCCTAGTGTCCCTGAGTTGAACTGACTGACTACACACCTCACTCCATACAGCTTAACTACCTCCTACAACAGTCCCTAATACAGCCAGGTCCTGTTGGCTAAGTCACATGAACTGGAGCAGCGCACGCTGGTAAGAGAAGATGCATTGAAACTGTTTAATATTGGGAAATCAGATAAAATATGCTTGATTTTAAATTCTTCATTATATTTTTACGGGCTCTAACAAGAACTGTCTTTTCAAAATCAGGTACTTCAGAGTGTGGTGGGGATTGGGAGGTCGGTGATGATGATGATGTGAAAGGCTGATTTCTGAATCTTGTCGAGCTGGTGTTATCCTCGCCCACAGCTCCCCGGTTAAGGACACGCTATAACTGTCTGTGTGAGGTAATCTCAGTGTGGACCCTCCTCACCGTGAGCTGAGCAGAGGGAGTCCCGCAATCTGCCTGAAAACTCACAAAGGACAGGCCCTCCTGCAGCAATCCACCCCCTCCCCACAGCACCACCACCCCACCCCCACACCCACACACTTCCTCTGTGACTATCAATTTCCAAACCAAACCTCAATGGTTCATGTTCTGAAAGAGATAGGATCGGGGATACTTGCCCCAAACTCCGAAAACAAGGGACGCAGCCGTGCAGGTTATGGGATGCGTATTTGGAATAAATAAAATGACAACAGTTCTGGGATCCCTCCCTGGCTATGGCTGCGTCTATAGAGAGTCTTCTGGCGATGCTGACTGAGGATCGACTCGATGAGATTCACCAGGGTGCTGAAGAGTGACTAGAAGGCTGGGGTTGTTTTCCTTAGAGCACAGAGGGATTAGGAGAGACCTAAATGACGTGTACAACTCTCTGAAAGGCATATGCAGGATGGATAGGGAGAGTAGAGGGGTCAGTAACCAGGAAG